GGCCTTTACCACTTAAATTATCAATATTAGCACCCATTGATGCAAAAGCCAAAGCACTGTTGAAATTTCTTATGTTAATTTTAAAATTGGAGTTTCTATTTTCATTAAAAAGCATACGCAATATAGTAGGTAAAGATGAAAGCTGGGGAAGGGAAACCTTTCCATTCTGGCAGCACATTGATCTTGACTCATTTTCAAAATGTAATGCACCACAAAAGACACACATGGATGACATATTTCCAATATTAAACAGTTGTATTGTATGGTCATTATAATTCTTTTGATGTGCTAATTTATAGATAGTATAACTGTGATGATTACATGTATTTGTATTAGTTTCATTAGCATTTTCAAGGTTTATATTTGTATGGCCTTCATCAGCATATGCTATGTTTGTATTAGCATTGTCAAGATTTGAAGTAATTTTTGCATTAGCATGTTCAAGGTCTAGATTAGTTTCTTCATTACCATATGCAAGGTTGTTGTGAATATGATTATATGTGCTAGTGTCAATAGTTGGAGGCAAATGGTGACGTATGCCTCTTAATACTTCGCGAAGCCGAGGCATATTTGCTAGGGATGATAAATGAGATGAAACAACCTATCTAGTGTCAAAGCACTTATCTTAAAATTTTCAGAGATTCTAAGTAAAAGCCAGAACTCGCCTTCTTCTTACACTGGAAAAAAAATTTAAAAAAAATAAAAACGAAGACTATACAATGAGAGCACAATCCGTACACACCTTAATCTGTAAACAAAAGAGACTAATCTAGCAACCAATAAAACCTAGACACAGGACTGGCACACCTTTTCCAGGGTGTGGTGAGCAACTGTGAGAGGTGGGTGGGGTTTGCAAGTTAGAGAACTCACCTTGGGCTTGTTCTCTCTCACATCTGATGGTTCTGGCTGTGAAGGCTGGCGCTGGCTTCAGCTCTGCCACTGGATAGCATCCACAAACCCAAATGAAGACGTTTTAAATTTTCACAGCACACAAAAATCCAGATTGTTGGGGTTGGGGGCCAAATTAGCGGCTGCCCAGCCGACGGTGAACACAGACCTTTGCGGGAAGAAGCGCAATTGCTGCGATTGCCACTGATCCAGCAAGCAAGCGTTAGGTCAATTGCGGCAGGGCATCCAGGGCGAGCTAAGAAGAACGGGCACGGGGGCAGGACACCACTGGCACACGTGTCGCTGTGCCTTCTTCTCCCGCCCCACGCGGCTTGGCTGCCTCCCATTGGCCGGGAGCAAACATCAGCAAGTCTGTGAACAGCATCAGGTTATTCCGAGAGCCACCACCCGACGCCGCTGCCTTTTTCGCCGCGTCCCTGAATTCCCTCGCTCTCGCCTTTCGAGCTTTGTCGCTAAAGATCCTCGCAATGGCCTCAGCAATCTCCTCCCGCTTCACAAACGCGTCGGAGCTCCTCCCATCCGAAACTTCCACCCCGATGCGGCACCTCTCCGCCATGATCTTGCGGTTGAGCCCCTGCTCGTATATCCGAGGCCAGCAGATGATCGGCACGCCGCTGGAGACGCTCTCCAGGACCGAGTTCCATCCGCAGTGGCTCACGAATCCAGCCAGTGCCCTGTGCGCCAGAACTTCTCTCTGCGGCGCCCATGAAACCACCAGGCCTCGTCCCTTGGTCCGCTCGACGAAGTTCTTGTAGAAGTCACTGTTCTTCACCAGGACTGTCGTGTCGCCCTCGTCCACGAACTGGGGCGGCCTGACTGTGAGCAAGAACGGCACCTTGCTCGCCTCCAAACCGAGCGCGAGCTCCTCGAATTCCTCCTGCGAAAGCTTCGCTATGCTGCCGAATGCGACATAGAGGACTGAGTCTGGCTCCTGCGTGTCGAGCCAGTCGAGGCATTCAGAAGAACGGGCACGGGGGCAGGACACCACTGGCACACGTGTCGCTGTGCCTTCTTCTCCCGCCCCACGCGGCTTGGCCGCCTCCCATTGGCCGGGAGCAAACATCAGAAAAATTTCTCGCGCAACCATGGCCACCGACCCTGGCCCGGGCCTGGGATCCAACGGCCGGCGAGCCTCCCCACTATCGCTTTATATGTATAGATGCCAGCTTTTTTACATCACACTGACTGCAGCATCCCAGATTTTTGCAAGTCTATAAACCTATAGCATTCATGCATGAGACAGACGTAAGCTTCCAGTCGACATACCTGTGCACTCAATTGTGGTAGCGTGAGGGACAACTTCATGCTAAAGACGTTAATCCTGAGAAACCAAAATTCAAAAACAAACACACACACACACAAAAGAAAATTCAAAAACAAACACACACACACACAAAAAGGATTATTAACCTCTTCTGTTTAGTTTTAAGCCGACCCATCCCACCATATTTAACATCATCGGTATCCAAGAGCAACTACAGAGCAAAATTACCAACCAGAAAAATGAGATAAAACAGAACTTAGACAGACCTCATATCGGCCAGGCTCATCGACAAGGATCTCATACTCATCGGCTGACTTGCGAGGATGGAAGTTGTAGGCAAAGATTAAGTTATCTTGAGTGAAAACAATGGTCTAAACGAAATACCGGAGCTTCAGTTTGGACAGACAATCAAACAAGCGAGAGGATACCTTCGACAAATCATCGACTTGCAAGTTCGTCACTGGTGCATTGCTGCTGAGAAACAAATACTTCTGCTCGATTGCCATAAGCGCCTGCATCAATCGCTTATAAGACAAGAGTCTCAAGAGTGTCTCTACTTACATTGTCAAACTCTGCAAGCTTTGCGTGCCATTTGTCATCCAGCAAGGACCATCTCCGACGAGCAAACTCGTAAGAGAAGTTATTAGTCACTCTCGGGAACTCCACGCGCTGTGTCAAAACTTTTTCTTAAAGACCACCAAGGAACGATGAAAAGTACCTCTGTATGGCCAAACTCGTTACCCATGAAGGTGAGATACGCTGACCCGCCTAAAGAAGCAGTGAGAAGCTTGATCATCTACAACGATCAACACAAGAACTTCACTTTCTCAAAACCAAAGTATGAAACGTATATACTTTTATCATGGAAACACTCCTGAGCATGTTTACAGCATCCGGGTATTCCACATTCTTCTCAATAAGTGCTTGGAAGAGAGATTTCCCGCCAGAGATGGACTATAACACGAGATCACACAATAGTTTTTATCCAGTGAAAAGAAAACTAGTTGTTTACCTGGCTGTGATTCTCCACATACACCAGAGCTTTGCCATCTGAATTGGAGATTTTGAGCAGGCTTTCAGCTATCTGAGGAAGAAGACAAATAAATCTTAAGTTTTGAAGGAACAACAAACCTGCTTAACACTCCATTCCTCCAAAGGAACTTTTTCTATGAGATATAGCCACATATCGGAAGGAGCTGTGCTTACGTAATAGTCAAAACCAAAACCACCTTGCTCATGAGGGGCACACAACCCGGGAAACAATGTTGCCTAAGTCATATAAACAAAAGTTGAAGAAGTCAGTGAAACTACAACAAAGTCACTCACATCTTCAGCAATGGTGATAATACGAGGCGTAAGATTGTGAAGAAGCTCATTTGCAAGGATCAAGTAAATGTGTGCGTCCACATTGACATATTGGTTGCAATACCTGAAGATACAACATTTAATGGTTTGAGCGAATTTGTGAAAAGAAAATTACTCGTCAAGGCTTCCAGTAAATTTTGCGAAGCCATTGTGTGTGTAGAGCATGGAGCCAACCGAATGGAAGTAAAAGCCATCAATGCGATACTCTTCAACCCACCTGCATTGAGCTTGTCAAAACAAAAACAGAAAAAAGATGAAGAAGAAGAAGGAACTAAACAATTACTAACCACTTCAAGTTTGACAGTAAAAACCGCTTTACTTCGTGCTCTCCATACTTGAATAAGCGCGTTCCCCAGCGTTTATGGTGGCCCCTTTTTCCTGAGGATACATTGCAAGTGTTAACAAAGGAACGGAAGTATAAGTGATAGAAACTCACCTACATGTAAGAAACAATCGTTTGCGCCATCAAACATTGCCAGTCCACATACTTCGTCAGGAGCAACGTGAGAGTGGACAATATCCATAAAAACGAGCAATCCCAGTCCTACATCACATCACAGGAAAGAAGTCATATTTTCTCGTCCAAATGAAACATACCATGCGCAGTATCGACCAGAAACTTGAAATCTTCTGGAGTTCCAAACCGACTACTCACAGCAAATTGGTTCGTCACCTGGATATAAACAAAGCCTTAAGTTTGAATGTTTTGTTAAGTGAGAACGAGAAAACCTTGTAACCAACACTGGAGTAGTCGACATGTTCTTGCACTCCCATGAGCTGCACAACGTTGTAGCCACACTTTTTTACGTGTGGAAGAACCTCCTGAGCCAAGTTGGAAGATAGCAAAACGAGCTACTTGGAAAATGCCAGCCACTCTTTTCTTGCCTGACTGAAACGCTTGAATGTAGAGATCCCGGCCTCTTCACTGCTCATACCAACGTGACACTCGTAAATTCGAAGCGACTTTGGAGGCTTTGGTCTCTCGTGCTGCCACTGGTGCCTCTCCTGGATAGGCGGTTCCCAATACACCGCACTCCACATCTTTCCATCCGGATCTGCCAGGAAAAGTTCACAAGAAATCCAGTAAGAAAGAGTTTTTCTTTGCTTACCAGGAAGAACATACTTTGCCCATGCTGGAACTCGCTCCACGGGACCTTCCGGAGTTTTGAAGTAAACTCTCACACGAGAGCCGTGAGGAATCGCAGGAAGGTACTTCTTCTCCCAAGCTTTGAACCCCTTGACGGTATACTCCCAGATTGGAAGTGGTGGCTTCTTCGCTAAAACTCGCTCCCTCCACACTGGATCATCGACCACTGTCGGCTCGCTGTAACGCGTTGGATCCTGCTTGAGCGGAGGCAAGTGAGCTTGATCGGTTTTCTTCACCCATTCCTCGTAACCCGGTGGAAACTTGGAGTAGTCCATGGTTTCCTCGTCTTCGGTGTTGTAGGCCAGTTCGTTTACTTCCTCCTCCTTTCCAACTTTGATGCAGCCGAAGTTTTCCCCAAAGATCGACTTGAAAAGAGCCTCCTCGAAAGGCCGTGTGTCTTTCAAGTACTGGTCCTCTCCAGGCTCCCAGTACTCGTCCTCCATCTTTTGGTAGAGTGCCTCGATGTCTATATCCCCGTCACCTCGATCGTATTCGACTGAATAGTTGTACTCTTGCCAGTGAGGATCTTTCTCTTGGCCCTCTCGCAGCTTGTCTTCCACGGTGATTCTCCAGGTGCCATAGTCGTCTCGGCCAAAGTAGCCTTTCTCAGCGCGGTTTTTCGTGCAATCCCAATTGTTGAAGTCTCCAATGAGCGAACAAGACGTTGCTCCTGCGTGAAAACTTTGGTGAAAAAAAAAACTTCAAAAGTAGAGCAGTTTTCCAGTGTCGAAAGTTTACCTGGAGCCCATTCGAAGTATTCCACGTAATGAAAGAAGTGGTGTCGCATGCCAAGTATATCATATCTATGAAAGAACTTCGTTTTAATTTCCATCAAAACACACAAGAAAAAGAGAAGAAAAACAAGAAACTCACCCAGAAGCATGCTGCTCCAGAAAACCATCGCGATCACACAAAGAATTCCTCGCATCCTTCAAAGCCTTAAACCTGTCGATAAGCAAAGAAACAGCGATGCTGCAAAGAAACGGAAGCAACGGAATAGACTCGTTACCGCTGGTAGAGAAATCTCACGAGCTTGTCCGTGGAGCGATCGACTTTCTTCACAAAACCAGCTGGATTTGGGACCTGGCGCTGCTGCTGCTGCTGCTGCCGCGGAAATCTCTGCTCGGCCTTCGATTTCGCGGGCTGCTGCTGCTGCTGCTGCTTGGCGGCACCGCTCGATCGATTGCTGCTACTACTCCCTACATTCTTGTCCACATACCTCGCCTTATTCCGGCGACCGCCGCTACCACCATCCACAACCATAGCCACGCGAAGAGGAGACGCGATCGCCATGCCTTCCAGGGTTTAGGGCTTTACAACAAGGTTAGTCATATACAGTAATCTCTATTGAGTACTAAAACTAGGGTTTGACGATGGCGGATGTGACGGTGGCTTACTGTGAGGTGCTGATAACAATCGCGGGACGTGTTCCAAAAGGAGCCTACGTTGAGGCCTTGATTCCACTGGCCAGGGCGAGAATCCAAGCTGAGATTCACAGTGACACTGGAGATTTCTCTTTCTTCCCCACACCATATGAGAGTTCGTCTGCATCGGAATGGTGCAAGATCGGAGGTATGAACTTTTTCTCCTGTCGGGATCTCTTGAGTTTGTGCTTTAGGTTGCACGGTTTTGTTCTTTCCAAAGCATGGACAGGAGAACCTGGAAGATGCAAAGCTCTGGAGCAAGCTTCGACTCTTGGAGAAAGTGAGAATTCTTGAAATGCAAATGGAATCCAAAGATCCAAAGGCAGTACAGATCGAGCTGGAGGATGATCCTTCTCAGGTGTGTTTTACGTTTGTTCATCCCCGCACATAGACTAAATGTTTATTCCAGGAGAGGATCAAGTTTGCGGCTGGATTTTGCGAATTCTCCACTCGGACTTACATCAACAAGTGGATCAAAGACGCATGGAGCCCAATAACAACTCCCGCCGAAGCTAAGCGTTTTGTGATGGAACGAATTGGATTAGCATCCGAGGAGGATTGGACGGGTTCCTGCGTTTGCGTGCCAAAGACTGACCGTGGTAATCACTGGAAGCACGGTGGACTGATTATGTTCCTGCCAGATGAAAGGGATAGGGAGCTTGCTGAAGGCACGCTCTTGAAGCAAGCACGGCTTTATCGACTTTATCTGGTAAAGTTTAACTTGAGGCTGACTAGCGATTTTATGATTTGGATTCTTGTCCCAGGCTCAAAAGAAGCTCGAAGAATCCACTGGGAAAGCTCAAGACCTTTCAGATATTTGACATCCTGCACTTTGTTCTTTACCTGTTCAGTTTTTTCATCATCTGGTAAGTTTGTTTAATATTCTTTTTCAATAGGTTTACGGAGAATATTTCTCCAGGAGGAACACTAAGCACAAGATCAACCAATTTTAAGCTCATAAGATACCTTCATTGTTTGAACTTCGATATGTACAGATTCCTTCCATTTGTTGTAGGATTATAGGGGCCAAGTGATGCTGAAGTGAAAGCTTACAGCCCCATCCCTAGATTGGTTTGTACTTGTGACGTAAAAGCAAGCACTTCCAGTCAAATGGCATTGCAGTGAGAACATCTTCGATTGATAGACTTGATTCAAGTATTTGGCGTGGCTCAAGGCGTCCACAATGTAGTGCTGCTTGGTCGGAATCACTCCTCATCTAAACGAATCTCAATCGTCCATTTGCGACAGTTTCTGACTGCCAGTTTTGGTAATTCTGAAAGAGATTATTCCTCACTGTTCAGAGCTCGTGCAAGCTCAAAAATTTGTGTGAATTCCTATTCAAGTTGCTCATGAACCGAATCTACTTTAGCTACCAGTGCCAATATGGAACATAAGGTCGCGAAACGAGCACAAACCAAAAGACTTACCGTGCCTCCTGCGCAAGGGATCTTCTGTTTATAGAACTCAGATTTTCACTCTAAATACATTACTATTATAATTTTCGTTAGTTAGGAGCTGTAAACTCTGGTTCATCAGCAAGCCAAAGAAATTTTTCCCCAGCATTGAAGATAGCTCAACGCAGACTGGTATTTAGACAGGGAGTTTCTTGGAGCACAGCCAGCAAGCACGAATCAACAAAAAGCTACATTGCTATGCTTTCAGTTTCGGTGCGCATCAAGTCCTTCCATCATTTGTAACATTCCAGAAGCGATGCGCAAAGTTACAACCTTGAGGCTAGCATGTATGCAGCCCCATCCATGGAGTCTAGGCTTATAACAGGGGTCATTGGCTTGTACTTGTGATTTCTGCGACTCCAAAGCAAGCACTTCCAGTCCAGATTCTCGGCCTCAAACGGCATCTCCTTGAGAACATCTTCGGCATCTTTCAAGTATCCCGCCCGGCTCAAGGCGTCCACAATGCAGCAGTAGTGCTGCTTGGTCGGAGTCACTCCAAAGTCGGCACACATCGAAACGAATCTCCATCGTCCATTCATGACGGTACCAACGCGGCTCGCTGACACCAGGGCTAGTACAAAACACATAGAGTCTGGAATCTCGAACAGCGAGAGCTCCAAGAATAATCTCGACGCATCCGCATGATGCCCAGTTTGGGTATATGCCGCGAGTAGAGCGCTCCAAGAAACCAGGTTCCATTCTGGCATTGCAAGAAACAGGGCTTTCGCAAATTCAACGTGGCCCAATCTAGAATACGACGATAGCATCGAATTGTACGCTACTATGCTACGTTCTGGCATGAAATAAAACAAGAGTTTGGAGTACTCTAGGTACCCGCTCACACCAAACGCTGTACTTAAAACAGTCCAAGACAGAGTGTCATGCTCCGGCATTTTTTCAAAGATGGCATTTGCGTGTTCTAGAGCCCCCAATCTGGAATATGCTGCCAGAAGTTGATTCCATGAAACTAAATCTTTTTGAGGAGCTTGATCAAACAACAATTGGAGCCGCACAATGTCTCGTCCGTGTACATGGGCTGAAAGAATGGCATTCCAGCAAACTAGATTGTGGTAGGGAAGGGATTCAAAGAGCGTCCATGCTTTCTCAAGCTCTAGGTTTCGGGTGTAAGCTGTGATCATTGAAGTGTAAGAGACAATGTCCTTGACAGGCATGGAATCAAAAGACCTCTTTGACTTCTCCAGATCCCCTTGCTGGGCATACGTAGACAGACGTATATTCCATGATATTAGATCGCAATACGGCATAGAATCCCACATTTTTTCTACGTGATCATACTTTTCTTCCAAGGAACACGCATCTAGCATGGCATTCCAGGTTACCATGCTTTTCTGTACCATGCTATCAAAAAGAATCTTTGCTTCTATGTAATTCCCAGTTTGGGCATACGCTACTAGCATACCATTCTCAAATGCTAGGCTGTACGGAGTCGTACGAAATCTCTCAAATATCTGCTTGGCACGGTCCACGTGGCCATTTCGTGCGTACGCATCCAGCATTGCCGACCACGTCACCACTGCATGCTCAGGCATGGCAAGGAGTATCTTCTCGGCATCTTGCAAATGCCCGCTCTGGGAATATCCACACACCATGGAGTTCCATGTCACAATGTCTTTCTTGGGCATTTGGTGGAACAACATTGCCGCATTAGAAAGATTCCCATTTTGGAAGTATCCCGCTAGTGTGGCGTTCCAAGTGAAAAGATCCCACTCTGGCATCTCATAAGTGATTATCTTTGCCACATCCACTTGGCAATCTTGCATATACCCTACCAACATGGAATTCCAAGTGACTAGATTCCACAAGGGAGCATTGTCAAACGTTGACTTTGCGCTACCAAGATCCCCGGCTTTGGTATATGCCGCAATCATGGAGTTCCACGTCACAAGATCTTTTTCGGGTTGTTTGTCAAACAAATATTTGGACTCGTTTACGTTATCAGCCTTTGCCAACACTGTGTTGTAAGAATAGAGGTCGTGTAAAGGCAAAGACTGAAAGAATGAGACAGTCTCTTCAAAATGCCCCAAACGGGCAACCGCGCCTAGCATTGCGTTTGACGCTACCAGATCTTTGTAAAGTATAGAATTGAAAACTTCCAGCGCTTGATCGAGGTCTCCGCCGTTGGAACACGCCTTGATCATCGCCGTGCAGGAGATCACGTCTCGTTTCGGCATAGCATCGAAGAAATGCCTCGCGCGTCGCAAGTTTTCTCTTTGGGCAGTTGCGGTGATGATCGCTGTCCACGACACGAGGCTTGGATCGGGCATGGAGTAAAAGAATCGCTTTGATTCCTCCAAATCCCCACTGCGAATGTAGGCGGCGAGCATGAAGTCCCATGAAAAACAATCCCGCCACTCCATGGCGTCAAACACGGATCGGGCATCTTTGCAGCACCCAAGTCTCCCGAAGCTCTGGATGAGCTGGTTCGAGAGGGACGAATCCCTCTGGAAGTAGATTGGTAGAGATGATTGGATCACTTTGAGTGATGCCGAGCTCTTACAAGAACGGATGCTCTCTAGCAGGAAATGGCGATCCATGCGCCCAACATTTTAAATCTGGGACGCTCCCAGCATATTTTAGAATTTTAAGGTTTTAAACCTTAAGGATTTTAAGGTTATTCTTATTAATTAAGAATGTAAGTGTTTAAAAAAAATTAATCTTATAATTTTAAAATATACTGCATTTTAGATTTTTCAAAACAAGAACCTTTGGTGCTCAAGACACTTTGCATTTCTTGCATTCATATATTGCAAAATATCTATCTATCTATATGCTGCTTATGGTCTTGTGGTGCAATCTCTCACATTCACGGACGGGATTGCTCGTGGGTGGTTGCTTGTGCTCAATGACACTATAAGATTGGAATGCCAAAATCTGCCCTCCAATATTCACAGAAATCTTCCTCCAGCAGCAATATCTCAGTTAAGTTCATCCATGAATGGTTTAGACAATGAAGAGGAAGAAGCTGAAGGATGTTTCCGAATATTTACTCAGATACGTGAGTTCTCCTTATCAGTTGAAAGTTGCAAAGATTTATCAAAAGACTTCTATGCAATTCTTCATCTCAAAACATAAGATCCATGATTACTCTTGCTACTTAGGAAGAATTCTCCCTTTCTAGAAAGCATGTTTTCACAGTTGATCCTTTCAAAAAAGCCAAAAGTTTGTGAGCTAATCCATTGACAAATAGATCTGTTCACAATTGCCTAAAGATTTTGTTGCCCAATTTACCCAAGAAGGTGGCAAACTCCTTCTTGCTTCTATGATCTTTCTTGGCTATTCCAACTTGAAGACATTTTTTAGCAACTTCTCTATGCTCAGGATCAGTACATTTATTTTTCCATGATTTTCATTATTTTTTTGTTCATTATTTTCATTATTATTCACATTTTTGGTTGGCATTTGTAAAACTCGCAAGTTAGAAAACACCTACTTGTTCATGAAGCAAACAAACTCTAATATAGGGGTATGAGAAAACAAAGAATAACATTGCTAGGATAATCTTACGATATTAATTTTTTTTATTTTTTATTTGTAAACAGTAGCTTTATCCCTTTAAATATAATATTAAGATCAACCTCTTCACTCACGTAAGAAATTCTAGAGGCTGCTGCAAAACATTTGTGATGGCTTGGAAGAGAGTGAAGATCACAGAGAAATCAATATAAGTTTATTTATAGTCCATTTATCCAACTGGTTGTAAAGGTGGAGAGTCTGAAAAGTACATAACAAGCCATGAGAATGCTATATGATGAGTAGATTTAAGGCGTATGTGTATTCTCGTGGATTAATATGCTGGGATTGTCAATCTTGTGGTAGCAGATGTGCATTCTCGTGGAATGATATGCTGAGGGTTGGAGTGTCAATCTTGTGGTAGCAGACGAATATTGCACTATTCACTTTCTCTTTGTTTTGACTGAGCAACTTTTGACGGTAGAGTTTCTCGAAGACGCTAATTGTTGAAAATAGTGAAGGGCTATTAAGAAATTTTAGAGAGATATTGTTCTGCTCGTATTCCTCATGCTGCGCTGCCACTGCTCCACGTGACGTCATCGGGCAGAATGATAAAGCACGTACGATCTCATCCTGTGACTAATCCAAGCAGCTTAGATTGAAAACATTTTGACAAATTTTGTATATCCACACACCATGGATTGTCTCTCACTGGCATCTCATATATCTCACATATATACATTCATACATATAAGTGATTAATTTTGCCACGTCGACTTGCCCACCTGAGATCAGGACACGTGACTAGATTTCACCAGGGAGTGTTGTCAAAGGTAGACTTTGCGCTACCAAGATTGGTATATGCCGCAATCACAGAGTTCCACAAAACAAAGATTTAGACTTTTCTAATGCCAACACTGTATTGTAAGAATAGCGGATCGGGCATCTTTGGAGCAGCCGAGTCTCCCAAAGCTCTGGATGAGCTGGTTATAGAGGAAAAAATCTCTCTGGAAGAAAATTGGTAGAGAGGATTGGATCAGTTTGAGTGATACAAGAACGAATACTCTCGAGCAGAGTTTTATGGACTTCATAACAGGTTGTTATACATTAGTGACAGAATATCGGAATCTTGAGAGATTTCCAATTAAATCCTCAGATCTTTGGGCTTTAAACGCAGTCACCAATGACGGCTTAAATCCTTTATGCATGCACACATAGATCCGGGAGATCAGAGAGTGGCGAGCTTTCTTCGAGTAGCCAAATATAAAGTTTTTCCAAACAATCAGATCAGAAAGATACAAAAGGAAAGATCTTTTCAAAGAGACTTTACAATTCTTTACAAGAAAGTTACAACACTATAAACATGGAGATGTGTTAGGAAGCTTTTTCACGGGGCTGCCGCTTCGAAGAGATCTGGTCCTGACGGGTGGCGGCGGTGGCAGTGCTGTGACTTCCTCCGATCATATCCATCGTAAATGTAGTCGACATTAGGCTGCTCTTGCTGCTCATCATCACACTGCGATTCTTCCTTTCGATCATACGCCTCCTGTAGTATAAAAGAGCGTTTAAAAATCGTGATCACAAGACTTAACGGGATAAATCTTACAGCAGTTTCTGCATCATTGCCAGCAGCGTCGGATTCAGCAACGGATCCAGCACTCGTCATGCCATTGGCTTCACTCTTGGTACTTGTCACTGCTGAAACAAGACGAGGACTTAGCCAGAGGCAAAGAAAATCGGGAGTTTCAAGAGTGAACTCAAAACAAAAGACTTCTCGACATTATTTAGCCAAATATCGAGAGCCAACAACAAAAAAGTATGAAACGAAACGAAGCAACCATGATGGATCGAAAAAAAAAGAGGGAAAACGAGATAGAAACGCCATAAAAAAGAATCATAAACAAATGGCCTTAAGACTTGCCTGTGGAGCCCTTGAGAGGTCGAGTAGCCATAGCGGTGGCTGCAAACACTAGCACCAAACCAAAGACGATGAAGCGAGACATCATAGATCGAGCGATGGATTGCTGGAAATACGCTATCTATACTGACTACATATACACTTCGCTCTAGCTAGAGTACTCTCGAAAAGAAAAAGAGACGGAGAAGAAGCTCTACAGTCGATCCTGCTCCAATGGCATGTTTTTGTACTGGGAGTGGACGAATACGATACGGTCAACCTATTTCCACCACCGTCTCGGTTTTTGGAGGCGGCAACCAACGAGATCAAGATAAGAACGCAGGCGTAACAGCGAATGTGTTTAATGAATCACAGACTCACATATCAAATGTTAGACTAAAACAAAGTTGGCGGCACCAGGTTGGTTTTAACAAACACCTAAATGAGCAATCATTAGTTCTAAACTAAAGGTTTAACAGCTTTCGAGTTCGAATCTCTTGAGCAGCCAGATATTTTGTTTTGGGGTTTTAGGGTTTATCTGGAATTGGCGATGGCGATGGCGCTGGCGGTGAGCCCTGCTGCTACTACAAATCCTGCTGTTGCCACTCCCACGCGCTCCACGGCGATTACAATGCCGCATTCCGTGAAAGGTGTGTTGAATCTCTCTTGCTCCAGGCCGCTGCTGCTAAGAATGGGAGGAGGAGGAGCTTTGGGAGGAATGAGGGCAGCATTGCTCGCTCGGCATTGCCCCAGGAGCAGCAGCTATGGCACCGGCGAGGTAATCGAAGCCGAGTTTTCTCCAGTGGTAGAAGAGGAGGCTCCTCCTCCAGTAGCGAATCCAGAAATCCCGCAAGGAGATCAAGCTCAGTACCAGATGGATGGAGGCCAAGCTCAATACGAGATGGATGGAGGCCAAGCTCAGTACGAGATGGATGGAGGGAGCTACGACCAGGAGTACGACGAGCAGCAGTACTACGAAGGCTACGATCAATCCCAGCAGTACCAGCAATACGATCAGTCCCAGTATGATCCATCGCAGCAGCAGCAAAGCTACGATCAATCCCCCTACGCCGCCGCTGCGGTGGAGGAGAAGCCCAAGGAGCCGCCGCCACACTATGACAACATTGGAAAGGTGATGAAGTTCATCGCGCTGGGGCGAGCGATGCAATTCAAGCTGGACAGCCAGAAGGATTTCGAGAGGTTTTTGGACAAGTGTAGCGCGTATGGAGTGATGATCCCGGAGGCTCCCAGCGACATCAAGAGGAACTTGTGCGAGCTGGATCCAAAGGAGACGTGGATTGTGGTGGACAGCCGCGCGGTGATGAAGTTTGCCAAGAAGCTGGCGCTGGAGGAGGCGGAGAGGAACAAGGATGATTATCCTCCCGGGTTCGTGGAGAATATGCTTAACAGGGACAAGTATGGGAGGTACAAATCCGACGATGACTACTAGTCTCTCTTTTCGTTTCTCCAATTAGTTTCTTCTCTTGCTTTCTTCTTTTCTTGGCCATCCTCAAAAGAGATTAGGGGCTAATGACATATTAAGACTCCCAACTGGTTAGTTTCTTATAAAGAATTAATTGAAGTAGTGAATACCATTCTACATGAGTTTCATGTTTTGTTTTCAATATATAAAAAGAACAAATCCAATTCAAATTTTTTGTTCCTAGTAAAAGATATAGAGACTTGAAGACAGAATTTAAATAAGTAGTAATTAATTATATTAAATTAATCAAAAAGCTTGTTTGTACTTATTACATTGTTAATATATTAAAGAGTTTTTGAGTAAATATTATTAAGAAGAAGTTCCCAACTTGCTTAGCTAAATCTAACAAGAAACCATACAATTAAACATAGAAATAAAACTTACATTCATGCTATAATGATTTAATGTTTAATAATAAATTTATATTATTTATTTTGAAAAATATTTTTATTTTTAATTATGAAATTATAAACTTATATCAAACACTATATTAAATGATTTGTCTACTTCCTTAAATCATATAAATAAGTAATAAAATAAGGGCAAGGTAATAAAATTTAAATAACTAAGTGATTTATAACTATTATTAAACTGTTTAGTTTAAATTTCTACTTACCTTTATATATGTAATGTTTGTGTTATGAATAATAATATAGTCTTGTGAGTGTATGGAATATGGAAAGAAAATACAACAAATATACATATTAATTAGCCCAAAAACCTTAACTTATATATGAGCGAATGGTCTAAATTGAAATTAATCTAATGGTTACCAAAATCCCACTATGCTAATATTAATATACAGCATTATAGCTATACACTTTGACCTCACATCATCCCCTTCTCTCGGAATGATAGAAGACTATTAGGGTTCTTTTGTGGATGGGCCGGGATCTTGAAGAACATTAAGAGGAGGCATCAGTGGATTTATAAATGGTATTAATTGTTTATAATCCCTTTTTACAAAATATTTTAGCCATTGTATGCATAATTTTTGGAAGATTAGCTTATTGGATGTCATGCTGAACCTCATAAATTTGCAGTCTAACTTGTTACAACACTTGATATGGACCTTTCCACTAAGTAAGAAGCCTTTTAGATAAACCACATATTATAAGATGGGGAAAATGAACTAACATTAGGTCATCTATTTTGTACTCCATACGTGGATGATGATGGGAGTTGTAACGTTATTACTGTCCCACTTATATATGGCCCAGATGTTTGGCAAACTCTACTTGAACAAATGGAAGAATGTTTGTCAAATATTGATTCCACAACTTAGCATCAATAGCCTGCAACAATTGCAAAGATAAACTCAATTCCATTGGTAGTATTAAATCATGACCATATAAAAGTTATTTGCCATTACTTCAGTATGCATATGTTATAGGGGTGTAGAGTTCTATTGATGTTTCATTATATAAACCATTTCAATTTGAATGCTGAAAGTTTATATACTTCGTGATCAGTTTTTTGAAAGTCTTAACAAGCCATTTCACTAAACCGTTTGATTATAAATATTAAGCACTTATGCAAGTGTGGTATATCCCTAATTGAGATGTCAAAATATGAAATGCCTCAACCATAAATGTGGGATCATTATCCGAAAGAATCCACTTTAGACAGAATTGTTGAAACACCACTTGATTGAGGAAAAAATATTTAACAGCAGGTACAGACACATTAGCAAAAGCACTAATTTTCACCTAATAAGCCAAGTAGTCAAAAACAATAATGACATACTCATTATCAGCAATTGATCATGGAAAAGGTCCTATTAAATAAAATGCCACCAACTCAAATGAACGGGAAATTATAATTGATTTCAATTGTCCTTTTGCATCACAAGGGGGAGTATTATAAATTTAGCACTAAATGCAATTATACACATATTAAATAACATCATGTCATATTTTTAGCCAATAAAAAGATCAGTGCAACTTCTCAATCATACGACAATGTCCTATATACCCATCTCTGGTGGTGCTTTCAATATTTATTCCACACTTTCTTTATGTGTACCATAATTCTCCCATTTTCCATAAATGATTATCAAGATCCGTCCCTAGACAATAAAAAAGACAGTTTTAAGGTGATATTGAAAATGTAAATAAGCTTCTCTTTTTTCTTTGCTCTTTTCTCATGTTTTAACGAATTTCTTGTTCTAGTATCTTAAGATTTTTTGGATGAGGATTTTATACTGTTAATGGTTGTTATACTTGACATTCAATGTCGATAAGGTACAAAACAGAATTTACCTTTTATTGATAAGGTTTTTAAGGCTTAAAAGGTTGAGTCATAAATTAAAAAGCTTCATAATAAGTTTGAGAATCTTATATCATTTATTGATGATTTACCATTTCGGCGACATAGTATTAACCATATATTATATATTTTATATATATATATATATATATACACATATATACATATATATATACATATATATATATACATATATATACACATATATACATATATATATATACATATATATACATATATATATATATATATATATACATATATATACATATATATACATATATATACATATATATACATATATATACATATATATATATATATATATACATATATATACATATATATACATATATATACATATATATATATATATACATATATATACATATATATATACATATATATATGTATGTATGTATGTATGTATATATGTTTTCACCTTGATTTTTTTTATTTATAGTATATACAATAGTAATTATTTATTCATGTTTAAATAATAAATTCTTTTTAAGTAAGAAGGATAAATGGAAATATAAAATATCTTCTGTGAGGGCCAAGCCATGCACTCACACGTCTATAATAATTTCTCATTAAAAGTATTAAAACTTTTGTAATTCAAAAAGTTATAAGAGTTTAATGCTAAAGAAAGCTTCGTAAAACTCAGAATATACTCAAAGATCTACTATATTTAAAGCACACCGGATATTCTCAAGCGCTCCTCGAGATGCCAAATTTTAAACCGCAGGGATATTCCAATTTCTCGTGATCTCATGGCAATGGCGAATGGATCGGCAGCGCTGCTCGTAGAGGAGGGCGACACGCTGTGGAAGCTTGGGGAATCGCTAGGGGTCGACTGGCGCCGTCTCCAGTCCTTCAATGGCCTCGATAGCGATCTCATTCTCGCCGGCGCCACGCTGCGAGTTCCTCCGCGCCCCTGGCTGCCGCGGCGCGTGTGGAACCACGGCGCGCGCCTGGAGCCGCTGCTCGTCGAGGCCGGTGACACGGCCTGGGAGATCGCGCAGGGGCTAGGGCTTCTGGTGGAGGAGCTCCAGGAGCTCAATTTGCATCTGGCGACGCTGGATCTCTTGTTCCCTGGCGACATTCTCTTCGTTCCTCACTGCCCATCCCAGTGGATCCAGCGCCGCCAGGTATTTCGCGAGGTCAGGGCTAGAACCAAAGCATTTGGAAGTGCCAATGCTACTTTTTTTGATGTGTTCCCTCCTCCCAGAGGTATGATAGCTCTGTCCATGGTTTTTTCTTTTCCTTCCTGGTAGGGAGTTTCCATGCATTCTTTTGGCACTCATTGCTTTGCTTGCTCCTTTTTCTTTTCATCAGGTCTAAGAATGCTCGATCCTATGAATTCCATTCTCTTGTGGATCTATCCTTTTTTTTCCTGGCTCGGCTTTTCTCTGGATTTCCTGATAGCCTTATCTTTCATGCCTTCCATCCATTGGATTGCGTTTGATATCTCTTTATTTTCCTTTTCTTTTCATGAGATCTAGCAAATGCTCGATCTTTTCAGGCGATGATTTTTCTTTTTCTTGCGAATCCATCCTTTTCATTTTTCCTGGGTCAGCTTTTGTCTGGATTTTCTGATAACCTTATCTTTCGTACTTCCATCCATTGCTTTCCAAGGTCTTAAGTGAAAAATCTCGTTTTTTTTCCCTTGAAAGTGGCCACTTTCCGGAAAGCTTTATCTCACCCATGCATGGCAGATGTGGACGAGTACCGTGAAAGGCACAGGCTTCTCTTGGACGCGATGCGAGACATAGAATCGAGTTTCATGGTTCCTGCGCCGATTGGAGATGGTGGTCGAAGCATTGGTCCCTTGCAAATCAGGTAAAATATCTCCTCTCCTTCGTTGGCTAGTCGATGTTAAATAGATATTATTTGACACTGATCTAGCAGGCAAGAGTGAGAATTGAAGCGGGTTTTGGTGGATTTCTAATGCAGCACAGATTACCACGAAGATGCTTGGTGGCAAAAAGATCCAAGCGGTGCCAAGTACGAGCTGTGCGACGACGTGGAATACGCCGAGCGAACTGCTGTGAACTACTGGCTTAGATACTGTCCGTGGTCACTCGAGTTCGACGACTTGGAAACTTTAGCTCGCACTCACAATGGTGGCCCGCAGTGGTGGTTTCACATGGCAACGATACGATACTGGTATGTCTATTCACTCCTTTCTCGTTTCGATCTTCCTCAGTTTGTGCGTGTGTTTACAGGCGCAAAGTTGCTCGAAGCTTGAAAAGCAGAGGTTTTAAGAAGAGGATTCCCGAGCTGCTGGAGGAAAGGCAAGCTCCACTGCTGTTAAGTATGCATTTTCCGTTTCCTCCAGACACGAGCTCTTGCGTAACCGGCGGCGGCAGCAGCAGCAGTGACTATACTCCAGCGGTTGCAGTCATCAAGAACGTCATCTCTGCCGCCTCTCCGGGGAGGATGAAGACGAGCAGTCCCTGATTGAGTGGCTACAGCTTTCAAAGTTTTGCTGGATCCAGTGCACAGCTCCTGCCAGTTCGAGTTCAGCAGAGCAGCGATCTACATGGCCTGTAAGCGGCAGGATTTCTTTCTCCTTTCTGGGAATCCGTTACCGAGTCCCTTGCAGGCAACAGACTGAACAGACCGCGTGGACGTGATGATGGAAGGGAAGAAGAAGAAGACGATGGATGAAATACTACATTAATGGCAAAGAAGTGGGAATATCTGAGCCAGGACAACACTTGGCTGGATCATGACACAGGTGGGAGTTTCTCATTCAGCTGCAAAGTCAATGAATGCTGGAGCAAAGGTGCGAGAAATCTTTCTTTGATCTTTTTTACTTGTTTTTGTTAACAAGCAAGAACAAGTGAGACTCAACTTCTGCTCAGCTCTGTGAGACAGAAAGGAAGCTTCCCTTCTTTTAAATTCTATTTTGGCCAAAGCTTTAATTGCTTGGTGTTGGTGGATTTTGTCTTTGGGTCATGGAAGGCAATCAATCAGTGCATGGCAGTGAAGGAGGTCAAAGGTATGCACCTCTTTTTGTAAAAAATTTAAAAAGAGAAGAAAAAAAGTTTAATGAGATTCCTTTCTTCCTTTTCCTGGTGTCTTTTTGCACTTGTGTTCTCTTCCTTTTTATGCAGATCAGTGCTGCATGACAAGGTAGATTCTGGAAAAAATGGAAAAGGAACATAAAAATAGGATATGCTTCCCATGTTGGCTGGACATGAATTGTAATCCATGCAACCCTGCCACCCTCAATTTGGTGTGCCTTGGTGTACTATAAAAAGGGCAGCTAATTTGTAGGGTGCTAGACAAAGCAAGGCAAAGGCTTTGTGTCCCTCTTTCCATCTATGCTAGAAAGAAAAATATCTTAAGAGTGGAAAAGGAGAGAGATAGACATGTAAAAAAAGGCCAGACTTAACTGCATTTGTGATCTCACATCAATTGCCATCTCCAGAGAGAGTTTTCCTCTTGTGAAGCAATCAATGTTTTGTTGGCTTGTTGTGGCATCCTGATAGTGGCTGCTCCAAGGCACTCTCTCCTTCAGGAACTTTGATAAGAACAATAAGGCCTGCCATAGCCAAAGCTTGCTGCTAGCCATCACTTTCTCAGAAAAGGTAGTGAAGTGACCAAGCGATGAAGGTGCTGTTGCTGCAGGTGCCCTGAAGCTCCAGTTTTGAGGCTGTTTTGGTGTATTTCTCTTCCAAATCTGTTTACTCGCTGGGAAATCTCTCCTCCCACGGTGGGTTTCTCTGGCCTGCGTTTCTTCTTTTACTTTTCTGCTTTGCTCCCACAGCTGTTGCATCTGTTGCAAGAAAGGGAGCGAAAGAAAACTGCAGCAGCAAGCGAGCGAGCGAGCGAGCGATCGATCAGTTTCTGGCAAGAACAGAGAGAGAGAGAGAGAGAGAGAGAGAGAGAGAGAGAGAGAGAGAGAGAGGCTGTGAGAAAAGAGAAATGCTAGCAGTGGAGAGACTCGGCTTACTTGGTTCCAGCAATTAGTTTCTCCTGTGTGAAGGAAGCCAGAGGAGGCATCACCATGCGCTGCTCGCTCCTCCTCCTCTTCGTTTCCCTGCTCTCCCTTTCGGATCTCGGATCGTCGCAGCTCTCGGTGGATTTCTACAACAGGACCTGCCCCGATGTAGACAAGCTCGTTCACAACGCGGTCAGCGCGATGGCCAATCAGTCCAACGTAGTCACGCCGTCAACACTCCGGCTGCTTGCTCACGATTGCTTCGTAGAGGTGAGTCGAGTCCCCCGAGCTCTCGAAAATGGACGTTTACTCTGCTTCTTCCTTGGTTCTTCTTCCTCAGGGGTGTGACGCATCAATTCTCATAACTTCGACCACCAACAACACCGCCGAGAGGGACGCGACCGAGAACAACATCCCGCAGCAAGCCTTTGACACCATAATTCAGGCCAAGAAAGCCGTGGAGGTTGCCTGCCCGGGCGTGGTCTCCTGTGCCGACATAGTCGTCATGGCTGCGCGAGACGCCGTAGTACTGGTAACTCCCACCACCTTGCTATGACTCCCTGCTTTTGTTTTTAGGATTCCCTGTTCCATAGCCTGCGGACTTGGTCGTAGTTGCCATAAACTTGCTGATTTGTTACTGAATTCCGACCATTCTCTGTAAGTTGCTGGCTCAGATTTACCGCTGCTGATTTTCTGCATCGTGATTCTCCTCCGGGAAAGAGCTTTCTTACTCCTCTAACTTCGTCCTGTTCAAGGCTGGAGGCCCGCACTGGGAAGTCACCAAAGGCCGAAGAGATGGACTGATATCCCAAGCTTCCAGAGTTCCTGGCAGATTACCTGGAGCAGACTTCAACGTTAGCGAGCTAATAGAAAACTTTGCTGCTGTCAACCTCACCGCTGACGACATGGTGATCCTCTCAGGTGCAAATCCTTCGAATAGCTCGACCAATCCTTTTGACAGACAGTGACTTTGTTTCTTCGCAGGAGCGCATACTCTTGGATTTTCTCACTGCAACCAGTTCCGGAGCAGGCTTTACAGTTTTGATGGAGTAAACGGCAGCAGCGACCCGAGCGTGAACGCGTCTTACATTGGATCGCTCAAAGCGAGCTGTCCACCCGGCGAAACTGGACCTGGAAAATTCACCCCGTTCGATGTCAGCTCCCCCTTCGTCTTTGACAACTCTTACTACAAGAACTTGCAGATTGGAAGAGGCCTCCTGTTTGCGGACCAAGTGCTGTTCACCGATAACACCACCAGGCCGCTGGTGAACGAGATGGCTGATTCCCAGGACGACTTCTTCGCGGCGTTTGTACAGGCGATGACCAAGATGAGCAACATAAGCGTCAAGACTGGAAGCGACGGGGAAATAAGGCAGAGCTGCAGCAGCTTCAACGCCCCACCGAATTCAACCACACCAACTTGAGCGAAGTCCAAAAACAAATAAGGTGGAGGAAGAGCACCTGCCATGAATTTGTAAATGAATTTTTGTTCGAATAGAATAAGCATGGCAATTTACCTCCAGATCGAAGTCTCACTTTTCATCTCCAGGACAATTTTCTATGCATGACAGAGAAGCTGTCAGTGATGCTAAAACGTAAATTACTAGCCTGTCTCGCTGATCCCAGAAATAACTCATCGATAGACCAAAAAAAATTTCCAAAATGTTTAGTACATACAATGGTTGTTAAAAATACAAACACGGATCAGTATGTATCAAACAAACTCTCACTCTGGACTCCGGCGTTGGTCGGAAATGTTTATATAGTCCATATTCAAGAGCTTTCTCGCAGCTACCAAGTGAATTCCTTTCAGCCTTGCTCGCTCCAGCATGCACTTCCTGTACGAGAAGTCACAAACGGACTCGTCTAGTCTGTTGATCATGAAGCACCGGCTTCGATTATAATCCGGGTGATAGTTTATCTGCCAAGAGTCCTCAGGCTAGTATTCAGAAAGACAAAAAGGAGGATTTTTCATACCATTATGCTTGCCACGCCACAACCGATCTTCTCAGCCGCTCTTGGATGAAACCGTAAGACTTCTTCTTGGATTAGCTTGGCGTCATATTCATCGAGCGTGTGCCCGACTCGATATCTGATAAACCACGGCCAAAGATAAGAGTAAGAGGAGAAAGAGGAGAAAGAGGAGAAAGAAAGAACGAAAAACTTACTTGAAATGTAAGATACACTGGACAGTGCTGACGAGATACGAGAAAGAATCCGCGTCTTCGTTGTATTCCTCCTCTCCAAATTCTCCATTACCAGACCACTGCTGGCTATGAATGACCATCAGCAAGAGAAAACTTTGAAAAGATCTACCGGACTTACAGACAATGGAGTGGAAGCTTGAGCGATGGCAGCTCGAAACGTCATATTTCCCTGCCTGCCGCAGCTACTGTCACGAATCTCGCAAGAAATCGATAGGGTTTTACCTCAGCGAGCACCGATTCGCCGCATTCACGGGATTCTTCCCCCCGCCTGCCCCTCCATTCCACGACACCAGCGCATTCGATCGCCAGAGCTGCTGCTGCTGCTGGGGCGCTTGCGGCGCCAAATTCGCGGCAGTCGCAACGCTCAAGGAGCACATCGCCATTTGAAGAACCCTAAAAAACTTAACGAATAGATAATCCGTACTATATAAACCCTCCGTACAATTGATCAATGTTTATAATACATGGTTTTATGTACTTGTCACGGCTACATCGTCGTCTCTGGTGTGGATCTTCGTCGCATTTCTTCTCGCTGCTCGGATTTGTGGCTGGATCACGTCGCTTTGCTCAGTCTAGCTGCTCGCTGGATGATCTTCGTGACTTTCTCCCGGAACCATCCCATCTGGATCACTTCTTCCGGGGATTATCTCCTCAGTGCTGGGATTGTTTGCCGGATCGTTGCCAGTGCTGGCTGGAACTATCTCCTCAGTGCTGGAATTGTTTACCGGATCGTTGCCAGTGCTAGCTGGAAGTATCTCCTCGCTGCTAGGATTTCCTGCTGGATGGTCATCGCGTATCTCCTCATTGCTGGGAACGTTTGCTGGATCATCATCGCGTCTCTCCTCACTGCTGGGAACACTTGCTGGATCATTCGTCACTGCTTGCTGGTTGGTGTTATCATTCGCCACTGCTTGCTGGGTGGTATCATTTGTCACTGCTTGCTGGGTGGTGTTATCGCCATTCGAGCCTTCAACAGTTGCTTCGTTGATGAATGCAGCTGAAGGATCCTGTTCTGACTCTGGCTTCGTAGCCCCGTCGATAGCGACCGAATCCAACGCCGGTTCCTCTTTACCTTCTTTCGGGAAGAATATCTTGTCCGTGATGTCCCGGATGGTGGTCCGAAGTTTGGATGCTTCGGCTAGTGAGAACCATGCATGCTGCAAAACAAAAGGAGCTCACGATAAGAACTCGTGTTTCACAAAAAACTTACTACCATGTCCTTGACCATGGAGTCGCTGAAACTGGCTGGAGCCTTTGACAAAAACTGCTGAATGTAATGAAGCATGAAAAGGCCACAGTCGTACTCGTTTTGCTGCTTTGGCACCTGCAGAAGAGAAAGAAGAACGACAGACTCTTTAAAAGTTGCAAGAGACTCGTGCATACCTTTACTTTCCTTTCATGAACATTCTTAAAGTCCTTGTTCTCACCACCATGAGAAATCCATTCGGCCGCCAAGTACCTGTCAAATAACCAGGCAATGGCAAACAAAACCCGAGAATTCACGTACCGGCGAACAACCTCATAAATAGGACGACTAACGTGCCCAGTTTGCATAGAATCAAGGTGAAGTATATGGCATCCAGGCTTCGGGCCTGAAAAACAAACCACAACAAGGCTCCAATGCATCCTGCGAAAGTGTCAAGAAGAAACCACAGAGCGAAAAAATCAAACTCACTGCTGATGGACAGGCATCAAAACGTAGGCTTTGTCATAGATGTCAACGCCCTTCGTCCATTTCCGTAGCTTGCCAACGCTTTCAACGTAGTCCTACAAAGATGATCTCTTACATGAAAAAGGATAATTAGCCTCACCTCGTCGCAAACTGCTTGAGCGAGCCGTTTGAAGAAAAAGCTGTTAAAAACGTGAAACCTCTCCAGTTCTGTGGATTGAGATACAAGAATGTACCTGTGACAAATAAACTTGGGGCTTAGCAGTAAGAACTTTGCGAAACGTACTTGATATACAAATCAATAATTGTGTCGTTGACATACTCGTGTTCCGCTAGACATTGCAAATGGTGTTCTTCGACTTCTACTGCTTCCGGATCATTACTAAAGATTGGAGAAGTCAGAAGGCTAAGTGGCTATATAACAAATACGTACCGAGAGGGATATGCAAATTTCACTCCACATCTGATCTTAAAAGGGTGAAAAACGTGACTAGCAAAGCTTCCCGACATTACCTCTTCAATTGCTGTTCGCTATCTTGTAGATGGTCTTCATCGTCAACTAAAAGAACTTCCTGGAACTGGCAGCTGTTACATACCACAAGAATGTAAATGGCTCACCTCATTGGAACCTTCAGGCGATGGCTCTTCTAGTTTTCCAGGCTGCAAATAAAACATTTAGTTGAAAGCCAACGAACGCTTGACTATACCGCAGAGAATCCAAAGTAACTCCTAACGAGGTCCTTTTTCTTTTTTCTGCAACACAATGGCATCAGCTTGCTTGGCACCAAAACATCACTCCGACTACTTTTTGGTTGAGGGTATCAGACGCTTGAGGGATTTCTGGCGCTTAGTTGTTTTCGACTGCTAGAACACAAGCGAAAAAAAGAAAAAATCAAGGATCACCCAGGAAAGAAAAAGACCGAGTCACCTTGGATTTTCCGGCAGAACGGGCTTTAGCCGGCGCGTCCTGTAAGCAGCACATCAGCAAAGAAAGAAAGAAAAAATTCATGAGACCGACCTTCAAGATCTCAGTGCTCTCAACAATCTCGTCCATAGTCCTGCGTAAACAACAATAAGTTTTTGCTCAAGTGCTTGCGAGATGTAGCTACATACCGGCTTTTGCCAGAATTTTCATCGTTTCCACCGTTTGAGACCGCCGGCTCTTCGTCCTCCTCCTGCAAAACATCGAAATCGATCACGCCAACAATCTACTCCAAAGGACCTGGCAGTGTCTAAAAACCGAGAATGGAGAAATCTAAAGAACTGTCCTCTAGACAACAAGATCTCAAACAGAGGCGTACCTGGCGTGGACGCTTCCTGCGACGAAAAACCTGCGTCGTGCGCTGCGTAGCGTCCAGCTTGACGTCGTCCAAGTGAGAGAGATCGGCGCATTGGCGTTGCTCTTCCTTGAAAGTCTTCATGGAATTTGCCAGCGCTATTCTCATTTGCTCCTCCTCTGGCAGCCTCTGCTGCATTAGCCGCGCAGATTGCCTCTTGGGCGCCATTTCCCTCGCCCTACCTCCTCACAAACCCTAAAACTGGGAAAATATTTCTTCTCTCAAGTAACTCAATCAATGGGAGGAGCTAGAGAATTGTAATTCGATCCAGCTGCCGCGGGTAGGAATCACATTTCTCCCTCAGTTTTTTTGTAATTTGCAAAGGTGGCACAAAGGAACAATTGGTTTCCTGATTAAGGGTAATAAAATATTTTTTCCATACATTTTTTTTATAAAATGGGCAAAACAAAAATCGTTAATATAATCTTATGTAATTAGTAAAGTGGTAGACTTAAAAGTGATTTTTCTAATAACTATTTTCTATCAAATGTGCTAAAATGGATGATCAAATTTATACCATATTATTTAAATTGCTGTAAAAATGGGCTTTTGTGCTTGCTAAATAATAAAATCTGAATTCAGATTTATTTTAAGTTTTTGGAACTTTCAAATTTTTTTTCTTTTTTTGGTTTATGAGGTGCAAGTAATGCATATACTAATATTAACATAGTAGGATTTTGATAGATATTGATTTAATTTTAATTTAAACTACTTATTCCTATATATAGTTAAGGCTTTTGGGCTAATCTAATATGCATATTTATGTATTCTATTTCCATATTTTATGTATTCACATTAGAGATAACTTTAATTGTGCCCAAGGAATGTTTTTGATTTAGATTTTATATTATTTAGATCTCTTTTATTCTTGTAATTTATTTTTTTTCATGATAAAGTGGTAACCTCCTTCTTTTTTAACTTTGGAGTAATAATTAATGCAGTTACTCAATACTATATGGTTGTAATTGAACAATTAAACTCAATTGATAGTGGCATTTATAATGTATGATGTAGCTCTTTCTATTCGGTCTACCAATCCTCATGTTTAGCAGAAATTCTTTCATAGAAATTCTAAAGATGATATATATTATTAGTTTCTCATTTTACAATGATTGCTATTTATCATTTTTGGGACAATACTTAATATTTGTGTGAGTTTCCCATATGTTTCCAAAGGATAACATTATAGTGGTATAATGGTTTAAAGGTAGCCATTCATTTGGATTGGAGCCTTCATTTGAACATATTAACCATATATTTGGACATATTGATAATTGTGATAATGTGTTTTAACAATTGCATTATTTCTATTAAATGTTATTTGAGCCAAGTGTGCAATTTAGCATTCACTTCTAGAGCCTTTTGTTTTATGTAGAGTTAAATATGTTAGAGCAAATCAAATTAAAAATGTTGTGGTTAGCATTTCGTCAAGATCTTATGGGACTTGTGTATATACTTTCTCTAGCCACCTTTCACATGAAGTGGAGTTAAAGTATGTACATCGACAAATGGGAAATACAATATTTCATATCATTGTGTAAATCAAAGTGTGTCATTAGAGATGATATTATTCATAAAAGTTGATGTTGTTGTTACCCATATTCAAGGATAAGGGCGATGATGGTTATGGCTATAATGTTTACTGCTAGATATGTGATAAAGTTAGCCACATATATTGGTATTATTAGTATTTTCCAAATTAGCATCCTCTTTTTTTGGGTGGAGGCCTTGGCATTAATAATGTTTTATTAAAGTTATTGTGGTGGAAAATCTTGATATAAAGATTTTCTTGGGAAATGAAAAATCATACAAGTAGTGAAGGGTCTTTGCATGAATAAATCAATGACCCCTTCATTTTTCATTCTAAAGTATTATTAAAGAGTTCACTTAACACCAATTTATTTAATATTTATTTTCCAAATTCATTTTTATAACAAAATATCCTTTATTAACCTCTTTATATTAGTTGATATAAAGTCAAGTTTATCTTCTATTGTTTGACCTATTGCCATATATTGTCATCTATAATTATGTCATGTGGCAAAGCCAAGTTTTATTATGTTTGCACGTAAAATCTTAATCTCCTTGGGTGACCGACGACAAACAGGAACCTTGATTGGATGAGCATTCCCAGTTGAAGTTGGATGACATGTGGCAATCTTGGCCCTAGACGATATGTCAAATTCAAAGAAATTAGAACACTCTTTCATGAGCCGATCAACAACTGCAACACAAAGATCACCGAAGGGATCAAAAAAGGGAAGAGCAGAACAAGATGGAAACATAGGAGGAAATAGTGGGGGGACAAAAGTAATGGAAGTAGAGGTAGAAGTAAAAGGACGAAAAGGTACAAAAGTGAGAGGAATTGATGAAACATAAAGAAGTATGAGACAAGGGGGAGAAGCCTCAAAGTTACACTTGGCATGATTGCGCTACAACCAATCTATACCAAGAATGAGGTTAAAAGCTTGACTCGGCACCACCCGCAACGACTGCAACTCAAGCTCGAGATCGCCCACACGCACAACTAGGTCCGCCTCATCTCGTGCACATGCATGTGTACGGCCGTTGCCATAAAGAATGAAAACTGGATCCGCCGCACGACGCAAGTGTAGACGACAACGTGTGGCAACAGGTCGAGCAATAGAAAATAAACTCGAACCTGTATCAACCAACATGGAGAGAAGAATAGAAGACCTCTTGTTATAAAAATGAGCTTGGAAAGTAAACATTGGATGAACCAGTGCAAAGTGAACCCCTTGATGATACTCCCAAAAGAAAGATGATACTCCCAAACGAGCCATTTCACCAGATCGTTTGATTGTGGATGATAATCACTCGTGAAAGTGTGGCGTATCCCCAACCGAGACGTCAAAACATGAAATGCCTCAACCATAAATGTAGGACCATTATCCGAAAGAATCCGCTCTGGACAAAAATGTTAAAACACCACTTGATTGAGGAGGAAGTATCCAACAGCAGTTGTAGAGGCGCTAGCAAGAGCACCATCTTCCACCCAACGAGTTAAGTAGTCAAAAACAATAATAACATACTCATTGCCAGCAGTCGACCTTGGAAAAGGTCCCATAAGATCAAATGCCATCAACTCAAATAGACGGGAAACTGCAATTGAGTCCAACTGTCCTTCCGTAACACGAGGGGGAGTATTACGATCTTTGCACCAAATGCAGCTACGCACATACCAGATAATATCACGTCGCATCTCTGGCTAATAGAAAGACCTGCGCAGCTTCTCGGTTATATGACGATGTCCCATATGCCCACCTAGAACAAGAGAATCATGGTAGGCATGGAGAAACCGCAGAATAAAGATAGAAGGCACCACCAGCCATAAATGATCATTAAGATCCGTCCCCACAAAATAAAGAAGGTTATCTTCAAGACGATATTGAGAATGTAAATGCTGAAAAGGCAAGTCATCAGCAAGTGATGTAGAATTCTCAAACCCATCTGAAACTTCAAAGCCCACCAAGTAGTATGACAAACCAAGTTCTTTCGCTTCAATAATGAAGTAACGGCAGCATGGTCACCTTCAAATAACATCTGAGAACCATGTAGATATGCATAAAGTTTCTTGAAACCCCATACTACTACTAAACACTCCTTCTTTATCGTGGAGTAGTTCATCTCTGCTAATTGTAATGTATAGTTTATATACACAATGGGATGGCGCTGACCAGGCACACTCGAGCTTTCTTGCATCAACACACCTCCAAGACCAATGTCAAAAGCATCCACGCGCAAAATAAAAAGTCGAGTGTAGTTAGGATATGCCAAACCCAAAGGAGTTGTCAATAGCTTTTTGAGATCCATGAACACCTGCTCACAATCCGGAGATCAAATGAAAGATAATGTTGATGACTTCAGCAATGCTCGCAACGGTGCAGTGCGATCAGAAAGATAATGCACAAAATGACCGAGATACTGCATCTTGCCAAGGAAACATTGCACATCATTCACACACTTCGGAGTATGGAACTTTAGAACAGCCACAAGTTTGTCAGGATTAACTTGCAAACCATCACGAGAAATACGGTACCTAAGATAAGTTGTGTCCTTGGACCCAAACATGCACTTCAACTGCTTCAACTTTAAACCAACATTGCGTAGCCAATCCAACACTTATATTGCAAAGAACCTCGTCCATCATCCGCTGGAAAGTTGCTGGAGCATTATTCAAACCAAACTGCATCACCAAGAACTCGTATAAACCAAATGGTGTACGAAAAGCTAAGAATATCTTCTTCAGCCATTGGTACTTGCTAATACCTAGAAGTAAGATCTAGCTTAGTGAATCAACGACTTTGCCCCAGACGATTTAAGAGATTAGCAGTGTGAGGAAAAGGGTACACATCTTGGATCATCACTTCGTTTAATAGACAATAGTCAATGCAAAAACGAATACTCCCATCAGGCTTCGTCACAAGATGAGGTTCACATGCCCAAGGACTTCGCAACTTCTGAATAACACCCTTCTCCAACATCTCCTTGATGTTTGCATGTAAAATCTTGATCTCCTTGGGTGACTGATGATGAACAGGAACTTTGATTGGATGAGCATTCCCGGTTGAAGTCGGATGATATGTGGCAATCTTGGCCCCAAAACGATAGGTCAAATTCAAAGAGATCAGAATACTCTTTCATGAGCCAGTCAACCACTGCAACATAAAGATCGTTAGAGGGATCAGAAAAGGGAAGAGCAAAACAAAACAGAAATACAGGAAGAAATAGTGGGGGAACAAAAGTAATGGAAGCAAAGGTAGAAGTAGAGGGATGAAGAGGTATAGAAATTAGAGGAATGGATAAAACATAAAGAAGTATGAGACAAGGGGGAGAAGCTTCAAAGTCACATTTGACATAATTGCGCTGCAACCAATCCATACCAAGAATGAGGTCAAAAGCTTGACTCGGCACCACCCACAATGACTGCAACTCAAGCTCAAAATCACCTACATGCACAACTAGGTCCACCTCATCCCATGCACATGCATGTGTATGGCCGATGCCATAAAGAATGAAAACTGGTTCTACTGCACGACGCAAGTGTAGATAGCAATGTGTGGCAACAGGTTGAGCAATAGAAGATAAACTCAAATTTGTATCAACCAACATAGAGAGAATAATAGGAGACTTCTTGTTATAAAAACAAGCTTGGAAAGTAAACACTGGATAAACCGGTGCTGAGT